TTAAGTATATATATTTAAATTTTTATATTATTTAAATAAATATTTATGGAAAAAATTAAAAATTATGATTTTTTTTGTAATATACTGTAAATTATCCTAGATTTGATAAATATATATTCTAAATTTCATAAAAATTGAATTAGTAATTATTAAAATATTAAGATTCAAAGTTTAGTAATTAAATTATTTATTATATAAAATTTATATTAATTTTAATTAAATTTTATATAGTAAAATTTAAGAAATAATAATTCACAAAAGTTTATTATTGGTAAAATTTTTTTTATAAAAAATATATAATAAAAATTTTTAAATTTAAATTAATTTTGATATCTAATAACTTAATTAAATAAGACAGAATTAAAATTTAAAATTTTATTTTGAAAAAATAATTTATTAATATTTATCTGAGGTACAAATCTTTTTGTACCAACCCATATATTATTAAGTTTATTTTATTTATTAAATAAATAAGTAAATTCTTATATTATTTTTATAAATATTGACAATTTCTAAAAAATTAACTGAATATATTAAGAAATTATAATAAAATAATTATTATGCTTCTGTAAAAACATCAAATAAACTGATATGTCACCTCATATTTATGAATATTACACTATATTTCTTTGATAAAATAATCAACTTCTTAAAAATTATTATTTTAATCTATATAAAATCTTATCCGAAATATATTATAAATTAATAAAATAATAATTTTATAATAATTAAAATTAAATGTGCTCATATAATAGAATTGTTGTATTACTATCATTTCAATCAATTATATTCGTCCATTGTTATAAACGCATTTAATAAAGTGAGTTCAAAGATGGAATCGAATAATTATGATTGTCAAAGTAAATAAGTACAGTATTTAGTTTACAATATTTCGAATAACACAAACGAATTATAATGAATTATCTAACGGGAATAAGATCGCAGTAAACTAATAAAAAGAATGCAATAAATTAATAACAATAAATAATATAAATTATTTAAATGGATTCCTTTGGTAAGTTGAAGTTCTTGCAAAAAGAGGTTTTGGAACAATCTGGTTGGCTGGATAGCATGTTTTTGATTCATAAAGAAAAAACGAGAACGAGGTGGCTAGATAGAAGTTAGTTTTGAAATTATTGCTCAATCCAAAACAAATTGCGCCAAAGCTTATAAACGAAGTAAAAATAAACATTTTCTAAAGGTAAGATAATATTCTATAACAATATTTCAAGCTATTTTAACGAATACTCAAGAGCTATATTTAAATCAAAGATTTATTTAAGAAAAAATTTTAATTTTAAATACTTTTAATAAATGTATTGATCAAAAAGTAACCATTATAAAGAGATTTGATGGTATGTGATATATTTATTAAAATTATTTTAATTACTGTGTTCTAAATTATTACATGTATGTTAGTAATCTTTATTGTTTCTATTGTCATTACAATCAATTACAATACAGATAATTCGATTTTATCAATAAAAATATAAAACTTAATATAATTAAAATATTATACAAATTATATTAATTATTGATTTTAAAAACTTTATGTTACTGCAATACAGAGAATTTGGATGTGATTAAATATAAAGATATTAACCATAACACTTTTATCAAATAAAAGTTAATTATTATTATGAAAACCCTGACAAATATAAATTCACGATTATGAGACTTATACTTCAAAAAGTATCTATTCATATAGATTCAAAGATTTCATGATTTATTTCAAAAATCTGCACATTATTTTATAAACGATTATCGCAAAAAATACATTAATACATTATCTAATTTATAGTTAAAGCCTATTTATTTGATTAATTGAAAATGAGGTGTATGATAAAAGATAATGTACATGTTTTTAGTTTTAGTGATTACAAGTTCCATTCACTATTATCATATCAAAATATCCAGCCGTTGAAGTCACCATTATCGTTGCCATTATAGCTACCCAAATTGAAGTTGCCATTGCCATTTCCATCGGAGCTTCCTCATTATTTCCATTATTGTTACCATTAAAAGCTACGTTGCCATTGCCGTTTCCATTGAAATCACCTCATTTTCAACAGGACTGGCAATAGCCAAATTGACAGAGAAAAGATTTATGTAAGCGAAGGCTGCAAAGAGCATGCTTTTTTACCATGTTAAACTTTATATTAAATTGCTAAAAGCAAAGAATTGTATATCGTCAATAATATAAACAAGTTTTTTGCTTGATAATGACAAGGCAAACTTTTGTCGGAATATTTGATAAGTTAGTTTTGATAGGAAGACCAATGGTAATTATATACTTTTTTAAAATCACAACCCTCCTTTGTTTGGGAATATTGTCTTTTCAAATATTATATCGTATTTTGTTGATGAATGTAATAACATTTTGGTCCCTGCTTACTATGAATTTGCTAAATAAGATTAAAAATTAGCGCTAAATACAATCCCAAATTAATCAGATCTGTTTAACGATGATTTGCATAAAACGTCAGCAGAGCGCCATGTACATGTGTCATAGAATAATCACGATGAAAATTTGATGTGTTACGACTTCAACATTACAATATTGTTATGTTAAAAACGATGTCCTTGTACACAGCTAAGTAAAATTGATAAGGTATGATTCTGGAGTACAAACGCTACTCAATCGCAAAGTGCAATATGCTGTCGCAGTTTTATAGCCAAATCCAAAAAAATGAAAATTACTGCGTTTAGGATGACCACCAGTTCTTATCAACCATAAAAAATTTAATTGTATGTAAAGCAAACGAAAAGTGACGTGCATCAATACGCAAAATTAGTGGCAATTTGATCTCAACCAACAGCTGCAAATGACTAAAAAAAGATAAGCTGGTCAGATGAGAGCAAATTCAAGTTATTTGAATCAGATAATATGATGACTTTATCGAATATATCTACAATAAAGATTGGGAACTGCCTAGAGAACACCTTGCTAAGCAAGTTGGGTTAACTAAATTAGTTGTTTTTGTTAACAAAGTTGACTTAGTAACTGAAAATGAAATGTTAGAAATTACAACACTTTAGAATATCTTAACACATGAAAATTTTTAAAGAATCTCGAGAATAAAGACAGAGTCGAAAAAACTTGATGAGAAAATGGTCTATAAGTAAAACCAAGAAATCAACTCAAAATGAAATTTACACCAGTCGATTCTGTTATTTCAAAATAATATCAATCACAACTGATACAGGTACGCGCATTTATTTGTATATTCAGGCAAAGTGACATTTCAGAGCGATTTAAATATATGTTGTGTGTGTATTTTAGTTGATATTGTTTTCATGAAGGAAATAAATAATTTTTTTATTCAACAAAATCACTTTTCATAACGGATGGTTCAATTAAATTAATTACATAATTATAATTTTCGAACCTAATCAAGTCATTATATAATAAAATAGTTCAAAATTCCATGTATAAATCGCATGTCTAAAGGTCTCGTCATTCGTCAGCTATCATTATTCCCAATACAATATACTCTAAAATAAAGACCCTCACGCTTCAAAAGATTCCTCCTTCCGATCCTTACGTCAAACTTTCACAAAAGCAAATTCGGATCCGGTTGGTTTATGCTGTGATTTACGTAAGATGCTCTAAGGGAAGTGGGATTATTGCTTCAATATCAAGAAGAATTATTGGAGTCAAATGGTGGACCATTAAAATTATATAGATCGTTGAAACAAAATAAATTGAAATCTATCTGGATTTTTTATTTTAATTTGAAAGGTACTATACATGTATATGGGTTCTTTAAATTCTTAACGTTATATATGCATCTCCTTTATCACATTACTTATTTCCATCGATTTTTTGAGACTATTCACAGTTCCGTTGCTCAAGATGTATATTTTTCGACATCTTCATACCTCCTATTGATACAAGAAATAAATCAGAATTTATTCAAAACTTTGTTAGGAGAAATTGATAACTATTATTATAGCGAATCGAATAAGATAAGAGTGATTGTTTACAAGTAATCTATTTCCGTTTTATATTGTATTGAAGGCAATATAAGATAATAACCTATTTACAAGACCAAAAAGGCAACATCCTCTAAAAAAGCGAATTTTTATTTAATATGCTTTAAATATATAAATTAACTTTGATGCTTTGAACTATATTTAACATGCTTTAGTAATTATAAATTCATTTGTTATTCTCTTGAAGTATTCTATTATCAATTTGTAATAACTTCATTCATTTGGTAAATCGTCAGAAAAAATAGAATTGAATTAACGAAAGTAATAACAAATTAGATAACGTGGTAAGTTTGCCTTCGATTACGACATGATTTAGAATCATTTGATACTGAAATAAAGACTATACTGGTGTAAACTACATTTAAGTCGATTAGTTGTTTATATTATTCGTAGGAATGCTTTTTTACAATTTCGCCTACTTATCAAATTTCTGCTTTTCGAAGACGCTTAATACTTGTTCAAATACAGTTTACATCAGTCGAGTCTTTTACTCTAAAAATACCAAATTATGCAGATACTTATAAATAACATTTCATAAGGAATTGTTCCACTAATTTCTTGGTTACCTATTATTATATTTCCAGGCGAAAGTCATGATGTACTGTACAAAATTTTCTTTGTGGATAATCAGCCAGTAGATATCAATATCACTACATTCAGATAGTTCTATGCATTCTTTTATTAAATGGTCATAACATTATCTCCACTAGATTATTCAAAACTTTGTCTGCGATAAAACATCCAGAGCGGTATTTAGTATTAGATTCCATTTTATATATCGGATGCATGGATATTTAAATAATCGCAGATAATCATGTATATGTACATTACATCTATATCGGAGATTATAATTAAATATTCAGGCATAGTTTCTTTCTCAGTCAAATTAAGAAAAACTGTCATTGAAACATGCTTAACCTATTTTATTGTGTATTAAAAGATTTCTCCTAATTAATATATCATTTATTTTATATAAAAAAAGTGGTTTCAATTCAAACCACATTAGCTGATTAATAGTAAAAAAACTACATTGCACGAGACAAATTGCTCATTATCATAAGTTCAATATGTATATACCAAATATACAATTTTTCTTTAGCATTGGATATATAGGAGGCTGAAAACGAATTTTTCGAGTGGTTGAAAGGTAAAAGTGTAAAACAAATTAACCATAGTTAAATTTTTAGAAATATGAATTGATGTACTTTTATTAAAAATTTTTGTAAAGGACAAAATAAGTTGCGCAAACTTTGAACTCATATAATTATAATTTAACTCCCAAAAAAATTTTCTGCGCAATTTTCTAAATTTGATGTAAATCTAATGATTCCTAAATTACTTAGAAAAAATTATTATATATTAAATATATATTTTTGTTATATCACCCACCCTAATTTTATTATAAATCTTTTGTTATAAAATTTGAGCATACATCTGCGTTCAATTAATAAAATCAATATATCGCAGACATTTTTATATCCGTGTAGATCAATTTTTATTATAGATCGATATCATACATGTATATATTTAATAATGATATTTTTCTCTAACTTTTTCGATCCATGCGATGCAATTGTTCATTAATTACTTGTAGTATACGACTTTCATTAGCATCCTGTCGACTTCTTGTTTTGCTTGAAACTGATGTTTGTTTAAACAATTGATTCCCATCCTTTAGATCCTAAACTTTATTTAGATAGATAACTTGAAATAAGTATTGCTTTGAGGTAAAATTTGATTAGAGACTAATTTGAACTATTCCAAACAAAGTTAAATTATAATAATTTACATTGACATATTAAAATCTTACCGGTTAATGCCAGAAACACAGTAACGATTAGAAAAATCATATTGACAATCATTCGTATGTTGATTACTTCAAAACTGGATAAATAATGTAAAAATAAACATGTAGAGTCGTTTATGTTACACTTGCGAATGAATTCATACGAAAAAAATATGAGATGCTTTCATCCTAAATATCTAAAAATACGAGGTCATTTTTTTGATTTTATTAGTTGAGCGCACCCCCATATACCATCTACATGTATAGCGAGATACGATCCATCGTTTGCCCCGCTTAAGAACAATCTCCTTTACTTTGCCTTTTGCTTATCCATGCTTATACATGCAGTAAGTACATATAATACCGATAATGATAGACTTCCTAATTAATATCGATATTAAAACAATTAATCAGTTAAAATATTTTAATTTCTTTTATACATGCATTGCCCTATGTACGTGTACTTATTCATGCTACTGTCAGAAAAATGAGGAAAACGCATGTATATAGTGAAGTGATTTTTTTGTGAAACTTGCTGCTAATAAAGGTTCCAAAGTTGATTTGCATCAGAACAGAAAGTACATCACTTTTCGTGAATGTGAATATATCCATATCATGCAAAGAGTTTCATACTTGAATGCATTGATTCCAATCATTGATTGCCGAATTCGCTAAATTACAGCCAGCATGAAAAAATTAGAATTACGTGTGTGTTTTCGTTTTAACAGAACAGAAATGATTCAATTTTAATATGTTGATGAAACGCAATTTAATAAACTCTCAGTTTTTAAATCAATATACATACACGTGTTGATTATGAAGTTTGAATTACTTCACGTAAATAAATAAATAGCTAAGTTTTATAATAAAGCAATTTATTTTTCTTGTATATAAGTAATTGAGTGAGAACTAAGTAAATATGGCAATTGTTAGAGAATTCGACAATCGAGCTTATTATCGTTACGTAAGAATGCCAACAATATTATCTACATACTTTGTGCGTGATAAACATTATATCTCTTCTGCTTCTTTGCCTGTATCTTTTTGGGTGCCCATTATAAGGTATCAAACCATTACTTATTTTTCATCATATGATAATGAAATATTTTTTAATAATTATTTGAATTGCGAGAGTAAAAGGCAAGTCCATCTCGAATAATATTGTCATGAAAGTAATCTGATCTGTTCAAAAAAATATTAATCTCTTTCTTGTATAGAAACTATGGACATCTCTCTGCAGAGAAATTCCTGAACATTTTAAATTGGCGAAATGATGTTTTCACGGAATGCTTTCATTGATTCTAATGGAAATGATTTTATAATGAGCTGAATTGCATCTTATATTTGTTATTTTTGATATTTGAGGTGGTATTAATATTTGTTCACATTTAGCATAAAATAAACATTTTAAAAGTTTGCTTTTGAAAGGGCTATATGTATTATTCTTCCTTGTTGTATAACTCAAAGTAAACATTATTGGATCCTTAGATAATTCTTGTTATTAGATAAAATAAAGTATATAATAATTATTATATTTATACATATTTAGAGTTGGATTAAATAAAGCATAAAATTTTTTTAATAAACATAAAATTAAAATTAATATATAGAATAAAAAAAATTTCACAAATTTTCAAAATTTAATGTCTCCATTGGCTTAAATTCTAAAGCACAGATAAAAGAAACATGAATTGCAAAAAATTTATTTGGACTGTAATAACAAAATACGAGATATTGTGGATCTAATTTGGAAAACATGACGATAACAATTTGAGATATAAATCTCGTATCAATACAGAATTAATTATAGATATTGAAATTTCTATTAAGTTCTATACAAAAATAATTTTTGAGGTTCAAGCATAAAAGTTGTCAATGAATAGTTTGGTCATATAATTGTAATAAATCGCTACTAGTTGAAAAGCATATCGGATCCGGGAATACCATGTATGGAAGAGGGTGTGATATGATGATGGACCTTCCCAACATTTTTAATTAACAATCAAGACAGATTTATGCATCAATTTCTCGTAATATTACTTTGGGAATTTGGTTCAGTAAAAATTGCACCTCACCTATGCATGCGATAAAATATAAAGTTACTAATACTCGTGAGTTTAGTATGCCAAAAATAATTATACAATGAAAAATTACGATAACTCAGTGAAAACTAAATCAAAACTTTTCAAAATTGAGATTTAACTACTTCCATCAGGTGGAAGTTATTGATATTACTCATCAAAGTTCTTATAAAATATCAAAAAATAATTATACAACAAAATGACGCTACTTCGGAAAATGTTCTTTTGGTAATAAATGTACTCGTTGTTAAAAAATGTGTATATTCGAAATTGCACAACAAATTTATAAATTACTGGCAAATAAAGACATCAATGTTATTTTATTTGCAATAGAGGGATATCATTGTTGAATAACTTGCAAACGGAGATTTAAACCGTTTTCTAAGCTTTATTACGAAAAGTGAAATGATTTTAAATAATTTGTGTATTATAAAAAAACGTTGCGTTTAAATTGACTACATGATTCAAAGAAATGGCATCAGAAGTAAAAACACGATGTTTATTTTCTTATTTCAATTTTCAAAAACAGTCTCAGACTGCTCATGCATTAAATATAATAATAATTAATGGTTTTATTGTTGCGACAAGTGTAGATAGTTTGAGGGAGAAGCGTGGAATGGCATTGAAGCAGACTTTGTATATCGGAAAGAGTAAATTGATGTGATTATCTCCAGCTTGCTGATCGTTTTGTAAAAAGAAATTTATCTTTAAATATGTCTTCAAAATCGGTTAATTTACGCGGAACGCTAATATCGTATTTTCAGGAATTAACGCCCATCTGCACGTTATTTCGAGACATAAGGTCGATTTTCTGCTAAACCCGTGTGCGTTGTATTAATCTGGTACATGTGTATGGCTATCAATGATAAAATAAAAATCATATAAATATAACATGTAAGTATGATCATTTTTTTATATTTTGCTTACAAGTGAACATGAACACAAAAAGAAATTATACACTCGTGTTTAAACTTAATTTCATATACTGAAGCTACATTCAACTGTCATACTTCTTTATATTACAAAATCGATTGAAAACGGGTTCAAGAATAGTGAAAATTAAAAATAAAGAGTTCGAAGGTCAAATTTATATTAAAAGAAATTCGATTTATCAAGGTTTTCAATGTTATATAAGTGTGGTGCGTTATTCCGGACCTCGGGCGTCATTTTGAACCATGTATGCTATTTTTAAATGATACGATTTTCGAAATAACGTATCTCGCGAAAATACCATAATTATTTACAATTTGATGGTTGTCATATTTTCTCAATAGGGAAAGATTATTTCTCAAGTGAGCTACTACATGTATATGTACATGTACACTCGGTGGACACAGACGTCCAATTTTAACGTTCAATAGCTCTTCGAAAGCTGAAAACGTAAACTTTCAAACGATATAAAAAAATATGTCAAACCAACTGATACTCGTAGAAATTGCCAACTTACGGATTTTGAGGGTGGCGAGATAGTCAGTGCTTGTAAGTGTTGTGTTTCCGAAAAAGAATTCGGAGAAACTCTAGGACGGTCCAAATCTACAGTTCATAATATCATACAAAAATATAAATAGTTTGGCCGAACCTCAGTTGCTGTCCGATCCGATAGGTCACATTTATTAAAATGCTGGAGCCACTCGAATATTGTAAAAGAAATTAGCAACAAGCTGTTGACGAAATTATCAAAAAATTCAATAATTTTTTGGAAATTCTGGTTAGTTCTAAATCATATGTCATGATCTTAATAAAAATAGATTTTTTGGTCGGGTTGGTCTAAGAAAACCTTTTACATTGAGGAAAACTGTGTCTAGAATGAAAAAATTGGGTTCATGAGTAGGATTAATAGTTCGGAGTGATGAATCAAGATATTTAATATTCATTGATGGCAACTATATGAAAAATATAATGTTTATTGTCTTCTTCCTAGTATGAAATCTGGTAATTGTGAAGTAATGGTATGGGAATATTTTATACAAAATGTACTTGAAGTTGAAAGTGCAATGACCGGTCAAAAATATATAGAATTATTTGAATAGCATCTTAAATCATTTTTAGATGAATTATCCAATTAGTTCTGTTCATCTTTTTCAGGTTGATAATGCGCAGTTTATAGAAATCATCAGTTGATGAATGGAGAGAAATCTAATATCAAATCCATCCAGAAACCTGATCTAAATCCAATTGAACATTTATGAGATGTTTTAGAAAGACAAATTCATGCATCCCAAAAATCTAAAAGAATTAATATGCGCTTGCAGAGGAATGGGATGAAATCAAACTGGAAATTTTAAAAAATTTGGCTAAAAGTATTCAAAGAGAATGCAAGATGTAATTAACAAATATGAATATTCAATCTGACAAAAATATATGTATAAATAATCCTACTTTTGCTAAATAAAATGATATATTTTTAATATAGTTTTATTAAAGATATAGTGATTCACATAAATAACATATTATTTAAATTACTGATCATTACTTATGTAGTTCTTAATCATGTAAAAGTTAAGAAATAAATAGATTTCATCAATCAATATTGAATACAAGCTTTATATGTGAATAAAAAATAAACAGATATTAGTTATATTGATTATTCATAAGCTATTTTTTTCTTCTGAATATCAGTATATTTTTTGCTCTTTTGAAAAAGCAAAGTAAATATTCATAAAACTTTTTTTATATAATTATTTAAAAGCTAACATAATAAAAAATTTTCTTCATATTTACTTTGATACATTTATATATTTTTTTAATTTTTATCAAAATATAATACAGCTTAATATAGAGTAATATTTTCTAAATAATTATATTATTTCAAGAAAGATATAGTATTTATAATATTATTATGTATTATAAAATTTATTATATACAGTATGAAACAAAAAATCTTATACTCAGTAAAATTATAATAACTTTATAATAAGCAAATGAATCGAGACTCAAAATATCTTATTTAAAATTATAAAATACATAGATTTTATTTATAAAAATTAAAACAGAATTCATTTACCATTACTTTTAATAATCATCTTACAACATCTTTTTATCAAATTTATTAAATTTTTTATAATTAAATCCAGAATACTATTTTACTTTCTATTATAAACCATTTTAATTTATTAAGATTTATTATTCTTTATCTTTCTATATTAGTTTTAACTATACTTTATAGATTTTTTATTGGATTAAGATTAGAATTATTTGATAATCAGTTAACAATTATTTGTATATTGACCTGAAAAAATTATTTAATAATAAAGCTTATATATTTCAGATTATTATTTTATAAAAGTATTAGACTCTTTCAAGTATTTATTATATTTTAGATAAGTATCTCTGAAAAATTTTAATATAAATTAGTCTTGTTAATATATCTTGAAAATAATAAAGACTTATTTTACTCTTTATATAAAATTTATTTCAAGCAAAAATTTTAACATGATTTTTTGAAATAGAATAAACAGATTAGATATTTTTATCTTATTATATTATTATATTATGATATTCTAAAATAATTAAAATATAGTTTTATTTATAAAAAGAGTTTTTTGCCAGTTATCATTAAGATAAGTATAAGTTTATTTAATTTATATTTATTTATGATTATTAATAAGTATTAATATAGTTACAAATATATTATTCTTATAGTTCAGATCTTTTAAATATCTTGAAATCATTTTATATAATAGTTCAAGACTCTTTTTAACTAATTTAAATATTATCTTTTGAAATAAGATAGTTAAATCTTATCTTAAATATTAACTAATAGTTTTAAATATACTGATAATGATTTTTTAAAATAATTACTTTCTTATTTATATATAATACTACTAGTATTTTTTATTTTTTTAATATCATATTTAATTATTCTAATTAGAATATTAGTTTTTTTATAAATTTCTAAAAAGAATCATATCTTTTGATTTTAGAAATATAAAATAACTTGAGGTATTAATTTTTTATCTTGTACAAATATTTGAATTATTATTTAAAAAATAATTAATAATATGATAGTTAAAGTATAATAAAAAAATAAAAACTTATAAGATATAATATATATTAAATATATAATAAATATTATTTATTTCAAATATATTTAGTATTATATAATTAAATTATATAACTATTAAGAACAAAATTTTTATTTTATATTATAATTATTATAAGACTTAAAAAATAAATACATAGTCAGTCTCAATAAGTTGACCAATAGTAGTCTATCTTAAATGACTGACTTATCAAGAAAGCTGACTTATCAAAAAATATGTGATTGATAATATATATTTAATTAAATTGTTTATTGTTATTAATATTAATATAATTATATTATAAAATAATCTTGCAGACTAACTTATTTTAGAGAATCAACTTGTTTCTTTCTTATTTAATGTTATAAATCTTTCATTCCTAACAATACAGAACTACTTATACTCATATTATTTGATTGCTATAAGTAGTTCAGTAAATTTTGGATACTTTCTAAAGCAATTTTATGTGAAACTGATAGATATTTATCTTCTTCTGCTTCTTCTTCATTTTTAATTATATCCTGAAATGCATCAAGAATTTCATTATCATTAATTACTTGAGTTGCTTTCAAGCTTGAATCAATATCAATATAGTCATTTGCCATCAAATCTGTCATATTTATTTGATTGAGAAGTGATTATACAATTGTTTCATTATTTTCTTCAGTTTCAATCAATATATCTTCTATTTAATATTCTTCAGGGATAATGCTAGTTCTTTGTCAACATCAATAAATTACATAATCAGTTATATTATTTCATACTTCTGCGGCCCAATTGATTATATGAAATATATTCAGTGTAGGAATTTTATAACTGTAAGTTTGATATTTATTGAATATATTAATTCAGTTCTTACAGAATAGTTTTCTATAGTGAGTCTAAAAAAGATTAAGTTAATTCTGATAATTTAATTTATATAATTGTAATATAGAAGTAAATAAATAAAATATCTTAAAAGAATAAATTATTCCCTGATTGAGTGGCTGTAAATGAGTAGTTATATTTGGTGGAAGAAAATATAATCTGATATTACTTAATTATTCATTATCTTCTAATTGATGAGTTGAGGTATTATCTAATAATAACAATATATATTTCCTTTTTTTGCATATTTCTTGATCAAGATGTTTTATCTAATTTCTGAAAATAAATCATTACATCTATGCTGAATTATTCTAATAATACAATATAGGAAGTGTCTTTTTGTTAACATGACAAATATAGTGGGAATTTTTGTATTTATGAATAAAGATGGCAGGTAATTTATGTGTACTAGTTAAATTGCATGCAAGTATTATTGTTATGTGATCCTTAGACTTTTTAATTTCCAAGACAGGTCCACGAACAAGAGATTTGCTAGATTCCAATTTCCAATAAAATGCTATCTTATCTGCATTATAAATATCTTCCAAACTATATTATGAAATTAAAGATTGCAATTTCTGCCTATACATTACTAAGTCTTCAAGGAATATACTATTTGTCTCTCCTGTTATGTGATATTACTTAATATTATTTCTTTTTTTAAAATTAGACATCCAACCCTATTAAGTAGTTAATAATAAATGTTAAAAAAGTATGCTTAATTCAAGTAATAAAAAGTATATTATTTATTGTTGATACACAAAAATTAAGAATA